TCACAATGTCATGCATGAGGAGTACAGTAGGAGTTTGGCTTTCGGCTTGTACAATTCGTTTTCGCAAAGCTTCCCCTTTCTTTGCTAAGTCTTATCTTTGATATTTATGACCCATCCAAGTTGGGTGGTGTGCTGCTTTGCTGCTTCGAATTGTAGTTAGACCACTTTGTCAAATATCGTACTGGTCTCGTCATCGTCCAGTAACAATCGATATTCTGCTTTTCTAATTCTCATTATGATTAGCATGCAATGTACTACCCGAAGTACTGAATTTACTTCTTCTGCACTCTATATTCTAATGTATCTTCTACCTCTTCTCCCTTACGAACATACTTTCTCATTTTCCATACTTATATAGGAGACTCCCTTCGATAGGCATCTATTTGCCTCTGGAGGATCCGTGAAATAAAAATCAATCAATCAATCAATCAATCAATTCTTTGTTCCGTTGGGACTGTAGCTTTTTGCTCGTTTTCGTTGCGCCAGGTTTGCCATCACTGTGTATAACAGTAGTCATACTGGCTGGCGAGCCGAAGGTTGACGAAGAGCAGCGGAGGCGATCGTTATTACTGTATTAAACTATTATTGTCCAAGTCTACGTGTAGCAGTACAATCATGTACTTCAGTTAGACTAGTCTACGTACTAAGGTAGGATGAGTAGAATACCACGCACTGGTACTGTTCGAAGTATTGTCGAAGTCCACGTGTAGTATAGTACAGCACTTGAGTAAGGCTAGTCTACGAAGGATGTGTAGAATAACACGCACTGTTAGTACTGCGCGTGGGCCTTGTTTGCTCACAGACATCTAGCATATGGCCATAGGGCCTCTTGAGTGGTGTGGATCCAGGGGAGAGGAAAGCGGCTACTAACTGAACTGCAGTGCATGTATTTCTACGCAGACGCCTGGCGAAGGCTGACGAAGAGTAGCGAGGGCGATCGTTATTATAGTACTGTCTTAGTCTAAGTACAGCAGTACAGTATTTCACTTGGCGGCAGAAGGAGCGGAAGGAGAATCTGGCTCTAACAGGTTGTCCAGTTGGAGATTTTGAGTTTTCCAACATGGCGGCAGACAAGTATAATAACAATAATATACAATGTATTCGCGTGAAGAAGAGGCTGGACTTTCTTGGGCACTGAAAGAAGGACTATAGCAGAGCTGCCGTAAGTAAAGTATGTCCTGTTTGTTATCTCTTCCACTAGGAAGTTCTAAATTCTTTTCCAACTGGCTTAGCAGAGTCTGTACTATTATCAGAGTAAATACTTAGCGAGATGCACTGAAAACCTGCAACTAACCTTACTTATCACATGCAAGTGCATAATAATAACTGAGGGCATGCGATCAGTCACTCTGCAGACGTCTTCAGAACGTTTGCCAAGCAATTGGAAATACGTTGTAGTGCGAGGGAAAGCTACTAGTGTTTGTCTGGAGGTGCCTTCACGGGAAAGCTAGTGCCATATTGTCTGTACTGTTCGTAAGATCTGAGTCATCAGAGGTCAAATGGTCTGCTCATTCAGCCATCCTCGGCCGTCCGTCGCAGGATATGCACTCTGGAACCTGATGCCGGATGACGTCCGGACCATAGCAAGACAGAACAGGTTTAGCATAAGTTGCCTACCATAATGTTGCTCAGACTAGCCCTCCCCTAGCTCTCCTCGACCACCCTGTCACCCCTGATACTCGCTAGACTCGTCTGTCAGACACTTCTTTTTTCTTAATTTTCTAAGTCTTGTCCTCTCTTTTCTAAATGCGGCTCATCCATTCGCCTTTATATCAGTAGGCCTAGTTCCCGTTTATAATGCGAATTAAAATAAACCAACCAACCAACCATATTGGCCAGTAGGTGGTGGACGTGTGGGAGTAAACTTCCCATGCACAGCAGTACGTGCAGTTATATCCAGATATATCCAGTATTTGCAGTCCCAAAACGTGTCGTAGCTGGTTATATAATGGCTCGAAAGGTATCCTTCTCGTTATATGAACATTGTTTGCAATGAGAAATGTTAGCTCTGACGGTCTCATTCTTTGATTTTAGTGGAGGGCTAATTTGTGTCTATTGAACAGCTTGCAGGCCCTTTCCTTGAACACAGGTAGATTCATGAATTGTATATTAGGGACGTGATAGCAATAAGGAGAAACTGACGTTGCCGGTGCTTAGAGATTTCGAGCATGGCAGGAATCCAGCTTCGGAAAAGAGTGTCTCCTTTGCTGGTAAGGTGTGGTTCTTTGACTTTCATGCCAACTTGAGTTTTGTCGGAATTTGAATATCTCCAGCAGGTGTGCATTGACTTTGCCAAGTCAAAAACCTGTCTTTTCTACCTTTTCCCCACAAGTTTTCTTTGTGAGAAGACAACTTTGGCGACCACTCCAAATACAATGTACAAGGTAGAGTTCACAGGATCCTGTCTCGGTGGATACTGATTTTGTCACCCTACTTTTTTTCTTCTACCATCTGTACTGTGTGCATGCAGGTGCAATTATAAGTTCAACATCTGAGCCGGTTCTGCCCCCTACGACACTGACATGGCTTCTCACAGTCAGTTTGTCAGTGACTGTTGCTGGAACAAGTCGTTTTTCTGTTCTCTTTCCTCTGCTTTTATTACCGGTTTGAATTTTTTCATCACACTTGCATACTTGAAACTCGGGTATTGAGCCAATAATAAAAGTAGAAAGGAAAAGGACATATGGAAACGAGTTAAGAGTAACTCTCCATCACTGTAACTAGATACTGTAATACAGTCATAAATTTTCCTTTCTACTTTTATTATTGGCTCAATACCCGAGTTTCAAATTGCACACCTGATGAGCCGTCACGAACCATACGGCGAAACGTACGTCGTGTGAAACAACTTGTTTTGTAGTCAACTAGTCCATCACAATGTCATGCATGAGGAGTACTGTAGGAGTTTAGATTTCGGCTTGTACAATTCGTTCTCGCAAAGCTTCCCCCTTCTTAACTTATCTTTGATATTTTTGACCCACCCAAGTTGGGTGGTGTGCTGCTTTGCTGCTTCGAATTGTAGTTAGACCGCTTTGTCAAATCGCCTACTGGTCTCGTCATCGTCCAGTGACAATCGACATTCTTTGTTCCGTTGGGACTGTAGCTTGTGCTCGTTTTCGTTGCGCTTGCCTTCCCCTCTTTGGTCTTTCCATAACCTTGAACCTTCCAAGTTGGAAGGCTGTCGGTTAGCGCTACGGAGATGTGTTGAAGCTAGGTGTCAGGACGTCGAATGTCTCAGTACTCTGTCAGTTTTGTGCCTAGTTGTTGCACTTTATGACTGTATTACAGTATCTAGTTACAGTGATGGAGAGTTACTCTTAACTCGTTTCCATATGTCCTTTTCCTTTCTACTTGCATACTTCACGATTGTTTTGTTCCCCAGCTTTTCACTCAAATCTGACATTCACACACCCACATGTATGCGTGTGTCTGCGCGTCTGTTGAATGTGATTTGTTTTGGGCAGCCCATCGTCTGAGTCATTCCTTTGCTGGCGAGGAACGCGGTGATGATGACGAAAATGATGATAATATGGTAAGTTGGAATGAGCTTGCAAGCTGTTGCCTCTGTATGATGAAAATAATGGAAGTAATTATGCAACCGATGATGATAACTTTTGCGCTCTTGCCACTTTGTATTGCCGCTGAGGCTGTACCATGGTGAGCTAGTGCACTGAGGTTGCTGGTGGGGTTTGGGGATGCTGTGTGGTGTTTGCAAGTACCTGGGAAGAGATCTTGCTGTGGTATGTGTTGCGTTTCTTGTTCTTTGGAATGGCGGAATGTCTCCACACTCCAGTTGGAAGGACCAGGTACTGAGGGTTTGGAGGCACTCATAATGTGTACTGTTACCAATATGGGTGTCCTTCCAGCTGCCCTTTAAAAGAATAATGCAGGGTTCAGCTGGTCCCGGGTAGTAAGTCATTCCACAAAAAAAGATTAAAGAAAGAGAAAAAAGAATGACCCGGTGCGGGCGGGAAGTCATTCTGCATTAAAAAAGAAGAAGAAAAGAAAGAAAAGAAGAATGACTCACCGGTGCTTGACGACAAAAAAAAGAATGTGGTGGGCTCCGTGCCTGCAGCATGCATGGCGTGTTTCACTGAGGCTCAGTCCCAGTGCCCGCTTTCTTTTTCATTTGGTCCCATGCACGCACGGTTGGGCCGAGTACATGTGATACGCACATCATTGCTGTGCGTATCACTCATGATTTCATACTTTTCTATGGCCAGTTCCATGGCTGGAAACCTGGATCTGTTTGAGACTATCTGAGATGTCCAAACTCCGGAGGTCCGTGGTGTTGTATTTTTCAACACTGCGGGGTTCGACGCTATTTCCGAACACATAATATTATCATTTCCTTTTTCTTTTGTTGTTGGCCTAGGATGATACACTGCACTGGTTGGTGTCTTTTGGACATCTGTGCATGCTGAGGCCATTTCCACTGTCTTGAAGTGTGCGTGCGTGCGTGCCCGCGTTTTTGCCAGTGTGTGTTTAGTGGTTCTTTTTTCTTTGTGTTTGCACTTTTGCTTGTTTATGGAAGGATATCGGAGAGCCGGAGGAAGCTGCACCAGGTACAGCTGGTTGGAGTCAAGTGGATCCGCGAGAAAAAAGAAGGACAATATTGAGGTCCAGCTTGAAGTAAGTAACTGAGTTTAGAAGACCACAGCTGTTTTCCACTGAGTTGTGTTGACCTACAATCTTACAACAGGACACTGTCAGGCACTGTTGATGACACACTTTCATGCCAACTGGAGTTTTGTCAGAGTTTAGATACCTCCAGCAGGTGTGCATTGACTTTGCGAAGTCAAAAACCTGTCTTTTCTACCTTTCCCCACTAGGTTTATTTGTGAGAAGATAATTTTGCCGACCACTCCAATTACAATAGACAAGGTAGAGTTCACAGGATTCTGTCTCGGTGGATACTGGTTTTGTCACCCTACTTTTTTTCTTGTACCATGTGTGCTGTGTGCATGCAGGTGCAATTATAAGTACAACATCTGAGCCGGTTCTGCCCCCTACGACACTGACGATGCTTCTCACAGTCAGTTCGTCAGTGACTGCTGCTGGAACAAGTCATTTTTGTGTTCTCTCTTCTCTGCTTTTATTGCCGGTTTGAAAGTTTACATCGCACTTGTATACTTCACGATTATTTTGTTCCCCAGCTTTTCACTCAAATCTGACGTACACACACACACACACACACACACACACACACATATGTATGCGTGTGTCTGCCCGTCTGTTGAATGTGACTTGTTTTGGGCAGCCTATCGTCCGAGGAATTCCGTTGCTGGCGAAGAACGCGATGATAATATGGTGAATTGGAGTGAGCTTTCAAGCTGTTGCCTCTGTATGATGAAAATAATGTAAATAATTATGCAACCGCCTTTTTTACAGGCAAACAAAACAAAATGTGCCATTGTGGTGTGCCATTGTGGAGAAGCAGAGCACAATAGTGGCAAAACAATTCCATGAAAAGAAGAATGTTTTTAAAAGTATTTCAATGTTGATGATGAAAACTATTACATGTATAATGACTTTTACTGACTTTTAATGTGGTTGTGATACTGTTGTTGTCTTCGTGTTTTACCACAGCATGTTGATATTCTGGAGGCTGAGCCCATCATGACCAGTAGATACTCGGCCGTTGCTGGGGAAGAAAGCGATGATGAAGACGCTGATGATGATAATAATTATGGTAAGTTTGAATCGTGGCTTGGAAGCTGTTGCCTCTGTATGATGAAAATAATGCAAGCAACCGATGATGATAAATGATGAGAAATCTGTCGTTAGAATAGAAATCGTTATACAGAAATCGATACATACAATGTATGCTGTTCCATTGAGCGTTGAGAACGCGTGAGAATCGTTACCTTTGGTACACGACACGTAAACTAGTCTTTTTGGAAATCGTTATTATATGCGCCTCGTTAGAATAATGGCTTTTACAGTACCCTAAACTAAAGCCTAAGGGTGGGGTCGTTCTTGACCTGTGAGTGGATACATCGGAGAGAGGAAAGCAGCTACAAACTGAACCTCAGTGCATGTATTTCTACGCGGAAGCCTGGCGGAGGTTCACGAACAGTAGCGGGGGCGATCTTTATTATAGTACTTCGAAGTACGTACTTAAGTATAGGGCTTGAAAGTGCTACGTCACAGCATAGCAACAATTTCAAAAATTCAAAAATTGGATCCACTTGGATCCAGTTTTTGTATGGATCCAAGCACATTTCAAGCCGTCTTACTCACAGCAAGGTGATGTAACCAGTGAAACTGACTGATTTGGCTACTGGGGGCGGGGTTACAACTGGTGGCGAAGTAAAAGTCGTCCCTGCCTACGACATGAGTGGGTTGCTATGCACCCACATACTGAGGCAATAGCAAAGTCACACCTTAGTGGATCCAAAATAGAAATAATGATGTCAACTTAGTCACTCCCTGCGGGTTTTGACGTCATCACTTTCAAGCCCTATTGTCGAAGTCTACGTGTAGCAGTACAGTACATGTACTTCAGTAAGACTAGTCTACGTACTAAGCTAGTTTGTTTGTTTGTTTGTTTGTTTGTATTTATTTTGATTCGCAAGTTCAAACGGGCATAGAACCCAATAACATGAAAGCGAATATGAAAATCATAATGAGAATGAGAATTCAAATACTTTGATCTTCAACGTAGAGTCAGCGGTACATCAGAGGGAGATCGGGTACAACAGAAAGAGAACAGAAAAAATCAGATTTCGCTTGTCGACATCTACAGGGCGCAGGTATAGGGGATTACCTGCGTGCGAAACTGCCGAGCGTGATGGATGGCACGGATGTCGCTTGGGAGGGCATTCCATAATACAGCACCCTTGCAAGCAAAGCGCCCCCGCCCCGCAACCGAACGGGAAACTGGCACGCACAGGCCCATGGCAGATTGGAGCCTAGTAGGGCCGGGTGCAGCGGGGGTTAGCAGGGCTTGCAACTCTGGACTTGCCAGTGCATAACGACAGCGCCACACCAGGTATGCTAGCTTCTGATTGAAGACTTCTGCCACACGGAACACTGCAATGCGCTCCAGCAGGTCGCGGGCAGACGACCACGGAGGGCGGCCAAAGACAGCACGAGCCCCGCTGTTCTGCAGGACCTGTAGACGGTCGAGGTACCTTCTTTGCAGTGAGCTAGAGTACGCGTTTGAGGCATACAGCAGGTCAGACATGATCAGCGATCTAAAGTAGGTCATGCGTGACTGGTGATTCAGGCAGCGGCGCATTCGCCAGAGTGCTCCGATCTTCTGCGACACGCGTGCAGAACATTTGGCAATGTGGGCGTGCCAGGACATGCCGGAATCGATTGTGGCGCCAAGATAACGAGCACTTGGCACACTAGGCAGTGAAGTGTCATGGCAGACGACCTGTAGATCCGCTGTGTGCTGACGGCCGGCAGGAATTGGCACGACTTGGCTCTTGCCAGCATTGAGGATCAGGCCTCGATCCTTCAGCCAGTCTGCAAGAATTGAAACAGAAGCAGATAAGACATCGGATACCTCCTGTGCTGTTCGCCGGCTGCACGCGAGCGCAATGTCGTCCGCGAATTGAACTCACTCGGACTGGCCAACTACAGCGGGGACCTCGCGGGTGTAAAGGCTGAACAGAATGGGGCCCAGCACCGAACCTTGGGGGACACCACTCGTGCAAGCTGATATAGAGCTAGTCCGCGACCCCAGACAGACACGTTGAGTGCGACCGGATAGGTAGCTGGCGAACCAGTCCAAGGCAGTACCGGACACCCCAACACTGTGGAGATCCTGCAATAGCTTGTCATGTTGGACTTTATCGAAGGCTTTGGACATGTCTAACAGGCATACACCTGTGAATAGGCCCTGATCCTTGGCTGTCAGGATGCGGTTTGACATAAGGACTAATGCGTCTTCGGTAGAGTGGCCACGCCTGAACGCAAACTGGGTTGTTGGTAACGATGCTGTTATGTCCAGGAAGGTGATGAGCTCCTTCTGAACCAACTTCTCTAGCAGCTTGGAGAGTATGGGTAGAAGGGATACAGGGCGGAAGTTAGTTGGCAGCGATGGATCACCAGATTTATGCAGTGGAATGACATTAGCTAGCTTGAACGCCGAGGGCACATGTCCGCACGACAGCGAGGCATTGAACAGGCTAGTGACAGACGGCGCCAAGACGTCAGAGCAGAGTTTGAGGACTGCCCCTGGTACGCCATCGCTGCCTGTTGCCTTCGCGGGATTAACTTGCTGGAGTAGCCGTTCAACAGCACCGATACTGACGTGTGAGAACTTGGGGAGGGAAGTGCGGGGTGGAGGCCCGAGGGGAGCAGACAACGTTTGCGGTCGACAGTCATCAGTAACCACCTTGTGGAAGGCTGAGGCGACATCTTCGATCGTACAAGAGGGTTCAACATGGGGACGGTCTCTACAGGTGACTTTGTTAATGGTACGCCAAAGCTTCTTGGTGTTTCCTGCGTTTGCTGTACATTGTCCCTGGAAGTAAGTGTTTCGCTTCTGTCGGTATGCATTTCTAGGATGTGTAGAATACCACGCACTGGTACTGTTCGAAGTATTGTCGAAGTCCACGTGTAGTACATGTAGAGTGTAGTACAGCACTTCAGTAAGGCTAGTCTAGGTAGGATGTGTAGAATAACACGCACTGTTAGTACTGCACGTGGGCCTTGTTTGCTCACAGACATCTAGCATATGGCCAAAGGGCCTCTTGAGAAGTAATTAGTTGAGTGGTGTGGATCCAGGGGAGAGGAAAACGGCTACTAACTGAACCGCAGTGCATGTATTTCTACGCGGTCCGCGGCCTGGCGAAGGTTGACGAAGAGTAGCGAGGGCGATCGTTATTATACAGTATTGTCTTAGTCTAAGTATGCAGTACAGTATTTCACTTGGCGGCAGAAGGAGCGGAAGGAGAATCTGGCTTTAACAGGTTGTCCAGTTGGAGATTTTGAGTTTTCCAAAATGGCGGCGGACAAGTATATAAATAATATACAATGTATTCGCGTGAAGACGAGGCTGGACTTTCTTGGGCACTGAAAGAAGGACTATAGCAGAGCTGCCGTAAGTAAAGTATGTCCTGTTTGTTATCTCTTCCACTAGGAAGTTCTAAATTCTTTTCCAACTGGCTTAGCAGAGTCTGTACTATTATCAGAGTAAATACTTAGCGAGATGCACTGAAAACCTGCAACTAACCTTACTTATCACATGCAAGTGCATAATAATAACTGAGGGCATGCGATCAGTCACTCTGCAGACGTCTTCAGAACGTTTGCCAAGCAATTGGAAATACGTTGTAGTGCGAGGGCAAGCTACTAGTGTTTGTCTGGAGGTGCCTTCACGGGAAAGCTAGTGCCATATTGTCTGTACTGTTCGTAAGATCTGAGTCATCAGAGGTCCAATGGTCTGCTCATTCAGCCATCCTCGGCCGTCCGTCGCAGGATAAGCACTCTGGAACCTGCTGCTGGATGACGTTCGGACCATAGCAAGACAGAACAGGTTTAGCATTATCTGCCTACAATTTGTTGCTCAGACTAGCCCTCCCCTAGCTCTCCTCGACCACCCTGCCACCCCTGATACTCGCTTGACCCGTCTGTCAGACACTTCTTCTTTCGTAATTTTCTAAGTCCTGTCCTCTCTTTTCTAATTGCGGCTCATCCATTCGCCTTTATATCATTAGGCCTAGTTCCCGTTTATTGTGCCAATTAAAATAAACCAACCAACCAACCATATTGGACAGTAGGTGGTGGACGTGTGGGAGTACACTTCCCTTGCACAGCAGTACGTGCAGTTACATCCAGATATATCCAGTATTTGCAGTCCCAAAACGTGTCGTAGCTGGTTATATAATGGCTCGAAAGGTATCCTTCTCGTTATATGAACATTGTTTGCAATGAGAAATGTTAGCTCTGGCGGTCTCAGTCTTTGATTTCAGTGGAGGGCTAATTTGTGTCTATTGAACAGCGTGCAGGCCATTTCTTTGAACACAGGTAGATTCATGAATTGTAAATTAGGGACGTGATAGCATAAGGAAAAACTGACGTTGCCGGTGCTTAGAGATTTCGAACATGGCAGGAATCCAGCTTCGGAAAAGAGTGTCTCCTTTGCTGGTAAGGTGTGGGTCTTTCACTTTCATGCCAACTTGAGTTTTGTCGGAATTTAAATATCTCCAGTAGGTGTGCATTGAATTTGCCAAGTCAAAAACCTGTCTTATCTACCTTTTCCCCACAAATTTTCTTTGTGAGAAGACAACTTTGGCGACCACTCCAAGTACAATGTAGAAGGTAGAGTTCACAGGATCCTATCTCGGTGGATACTGATTTTGTCACCCTACTTTTTTTCTTGTACCATCTGTACTGTGTGCATGCAGGTGCAATTATAAGTTCAACATCTGAGCCGGTTCTGCCCCCTACGACACTGACATGGCTTCTCACAGTCAGTTTGTCAGTGACTGTTGCTGGAACAAGTCGTTTTTCTGTTCTCTTTCCTCTGCTTTTATTACCGGTTTGACCTTTTTCATCACACTTGCATACTTCACGATTGTTTTGTTCCCCAGCTTTTCACTTAAATCTGACATACACACACCCACATGTATGCGTGTGTCTGCCCGTCTGTTGAATGTGATTTGTTTTGGGCAGCCCATCGTCCGAGTCATTCCTTTGCTGGCGAAGAACGCGGTGATGATGACGAAAATGATGATAATATGGTAAGTTGGAATGAGCTTCAAGCAGTTACCTCTGTATGATGAAAATAATGGAAGTAATTATGCAACCGATGATGATAACTTTTGCGCTCTTGCCACTTTGTATTGCCGCTGAGGCTGTACCATGGTGAGCTAGTGCACTGAGGTTGCTGGTGGGGTTTGGGGATGCTGTGTGGTGTTTGCAAGTACATAGGAAGAGATCTTGCTGTGGTGTGTGTTGCGTTTCTTGTTCTTTGGAATGGCGGAATGTCTCCACAATCCAGTTGGAAGGACCAGGTACTGATGGTTTGGAGGCACTCATAATGTGTACTGTTACCATTATGGGTGTCCTTCCAGCTGCCCTTTAAAAGAATAATGCAGGGTTCAGCTGGTCCCGGGTAGTAAGTCATTCCACAAAAAAAGACTAAAGAAAGAGAAAAAAGAATGACCCGGTGCGGGCGGGAAGTCATTCTGCATTAAAAAAGAAGAAGAAAAGAAGAAGAAAAGAAAGAAAAGAAGAATGACTCACCGGTGCTTGACGACAAAAAAAAAGAATGTGGTGGGCTCCTTGCCTGCAGCATGCATGTCGTGTTTCACTGAGGCTCAGTCCCAGTGCCCGCTTTCTTTTTCATTTGGTCCCATGCACGCACGGTTGGGCCGAGTACATGTGATACGCACATCATTGCTGTGCGTATCACTCATGATTTCATACTTTTCTATGGCCAGTTCCATGGCTGGAAACCTGGATCTGTTTGAGACTATCTGAGATGTCCAAACTCCGGAGGTCCGTGGTGTTGCATTTTTCAACACTGCGGGGTTCGACGCTATTTCCGAACACATATTGTTTCCTTTTTCTTTTGTTGTTGGCCTAGGATGATACGCCGCACTGGTGGTGTCTATTAGACATCTGTGCATGCTGAGGCCATTTCCACTGTCTTGAAGTGTGCGTGCGTGCGTGCCCGCGTTTTTGGCAGTGTGTGTTTAGTGGTTTCTTTTTCTTTGTGTTTGCACTTTTGCTTGTTTATGGAAGGATATCGGAGAGCCGGAGGAAGCTGCACCAGGTACAGCTGGTTGGAGTCAAGTGGATCCGCGAGAAAAAAGAAGGACAATATTGAAGTCCAGCTTGAAGTAAGTGTAGTATCCCTGCCCGACCAATACGGAAGCAGTACGGAACTAATACGGAGCTTGCCTGATGTATATTTAGTGTATCTCCGTATGTAAGCGTACGTCGTCTGCTGCATAAAAGCGGCTGCGCATTTCTGTTTTGATGAAGATTAGATTAGATTAGATTGGATAGCAATGAAAGCTAACTCGAAGAATAAGGATTCAGCCTCTAGGTGAGCACCGGAGAGAAAGTTATTTATTTTGCCGCTTCATCTTTCACGAACGATTATATCTCAGGTGTGTACCTGAAAGTAGAATAAAAGTAATTATTGTTGATATCACCGCGCCTACCACTCGGCTACCTATTACATTGGTGGCAGCGGTGTAGTTTTAAATAAAACAACGTGATTCGACCCCAGACTCCGATGGCTCAACCCGCTACAGCTCCGTGCGACGAATCAAGATGATAATCATGTTTCTTGCCTTCCTCGGCCTGGCACTGCTTATTAGCCTGCAGCTCAGTCAGGGTGCTAGCGTGGATCACCCTTCTCTCCGCACGGCACACACTGGAGACTCCGATGGCGATTCCAAGTGACCCGCTACCTACATGTTTTCTACCGGTGGTGATGGCGAAGCTGATGAGGACGACAACAGGCATGCTGGTACCCAAGACAAGGAGGGTATTCACCAAGACCAGCAGCGTTTGATTTTCGCCGGCACGCAGTCGGAAGCAGGAGCCCACTCTTCACTTGGTACTTCGCCTCCGTAGTGGGATGCAGATTTTGTCATCACTTTTTTGCCAAGCGATTCTATCGACAATGTGAAGACCACGATTTAAGACGAGGAGGGAGTGATCTGTCTGACGCCGAGCTAGCAGCTCTGAGTGACCGGCCTAACCAAGATAAAGATAAAACCTGGCTCGCCCTCCGCCAATACTGGCCGTAGCTCCAGCCGCCGCCGTGGTTACTAACGCTGATTCCAGGTATGGCATTTTCTTTCCTGTCTTCCTTCAGTCTCCCTGTTCTCTTCAGTCTTCCTTTATGCGAGTGTGTGAATCCAGTTTAGTTTGGTAGGCGTCTGATCATGGTGAGCCACGGCTTACCCAGCTAATGTGGGACAATGTGTGTGACAACGCCCCTTATAGTTATAGTGTATTCAGTTCGGTTTTTGAACTCCGATGTTCCTGGCGGGTTGTGCCAGCGTTGTGCAGCAAGAGTGCTGTGGATTTTCAGGTCCTATTTGGAGGACAGTTCTTTCCCCTTTTGACCCCGTGAAATCGTGTGAACCTGGTGTGCTTCTACTTTATGATTTGTTATCAGTTCATTTCTTCTGTCTACTCTAAACGTTATCATTTCCGATATAATTTGCCATCTTCCGGTTGACGCTGTGTTCGTAACTCTTCACTAATTTTTTGAAAATCACGAGGGCGTGATTATCTGTAGGAAGGGAGGGTGTAGTATCCCTGCCCGACCAATACGGAAGCAGTACGGAACTAATACGGAGCTTGCCTGATGTATATTTAGTGTATCTCCGTATGTAAGCGTACGTCGTCTGCTGCATAAAAGCGGCTGCGCATTTCTGTTTTGATGAAGATTAGATTAGATTAGATTGGATAGCAATGAAAGCTAACTCGAAGAATAAGGATTCAGCCTCTAGGTGAGCACCGGAGAGAAAGTTATTTATTTTGCCGCTTCATCTTTCACGAACGATTATATCTCAGGTGTGTACCTGAAAGTAGAATAAAAGTAATTATTGTTGATATCACCGCGCCTACCACTCGGCTACCTATTACATAAGTAACTGAGTTTAGAAGACCACAGCTGTTTTCCACTGAGTTGTGTTGGCCTACAATCTTAGAACAGGACACTGTCAGGCACCGTTGATGATTACGCCTCTTTCACGGGCAAACAAAACACAATTTGCCATGGTCGAGAAATAGAACACAATACAAATACTGGCGAAACAATTTCATAAAAACAGTCGATGCGCCAAGCCAGCTGAGTGGGTCTTTTTTATTTTTTTCGCGCGAAAGTTTATGTGGTGAACTGTGTTGGTAAAGATGAAGATGTCAGTCAATGAAATTTGCTATATTTCTTGTGTCTAACCAACCCTGTACGGATCGAACTGACGATTCCCGAGTGCGACAAATGTCCTGAAGTCTGCTCCTATTAGCTATTTATCTAGAAATTTCAACTTGAGTGTCAAGTGAAGACTTTGCCAGTTGCAGACGAGGGAATTCTCGCTTCACGATTTTCCTGGTGTGTGGAGATACGTCGGAATGCCGACCCACCACACCCGACATGATGCTTCGGCCGGAATGCAGGTTGGTGCAGATAATTGCCTAATAATATATGTCTAAGCGTGTATACCTTTCCTTTCGTTGCATGCTTGGTTAATCCGACGGCACGAAATTATAGACATTTCGAAATTAACTTGAATATTATTTGGTCGTTGTATGTCTTAGTATTCCCTGTCAGTTTGTGCCTTTTTGTCGCGCTCGCCGACTGTATATGATCTAGCGACATTGGTACATGGTGGACAGTTAGTCCTAACTCGCATTTTGTCCTTATTCTTTTTATCCATGATTACATTGGCTAACCATCCGAGTTTATTTATATACTTTTGATAGGGCAATATGTAATGTACACACACACACACACACACACACACACACACACACACATACACACACCACCACACACACAGTGACACACACACCACACGCACACCCGCACACACCATCACATTACGACAAAATCAAGGCAATACCGGCGAACCTCTATAATTTTCTTGTGCCGCGTGCTAGGAGCATAATGGCATTGCCCGATAATAGCATTTGGTGTAAATGGGTTCCCATGTTCACACACACATACACACACACACACACACACAAACACACACCACACACACACGCACACACCATCACATTACGACAAAATCAAGGCAATGCTGGCGAAGCTCTATAATTTTCTTGTGCCGCGTGCTAGGAGCATAATGGCATTGTCCGATAATAGCACTTGGTGTAAATGGGTTCCCATATTTGTGAAGTACATGTATTATTCGGTTGCTGGCTATCAATTGTGCTGTGAGCATGGCAGAGTGAGGTCTTCCAGCTTTGTTGGTGTTTGCTCTATCTTGTGTTTACGCTCTGCAGAAAGGATCATATGTAGTGCCTTCTCAGCATTACATTACATCCATTGCGTAGCAGCAATGTGCCATCCTTCCGCGACTTAGGTGGAATGACGTGCAAGTGGTGCTCCAGGGTCAACTTCAATTTGCCGAGCACGTATGCCGCTAGCTTGGGGTCAGCAGCTGGGTGCAAAGTCTCTGTATACAAATCGTGCACTGTCGTCAACAATATGGCATCCTTGTCCAGCAATTCCCGTCCTGTAGCGGCAATGACTATAATATTGGGGAAATCACTCTCGGCACCTTCCGTGCTGTACTGAGGGATGATGCTTCGCAATTGGTGGTCTGTGCTTGGTGCATTGTCGGCAGGGAGCATGTCAATTTGCTTTTGGTAGCAGCGTCTACAAAATCGACTCTCGTCTGAAATCCTGACATGGTGCATGCTACGCAACACATGCTCTGCAAGCTGAAAGTTTGGTGACTTCCACCTGTGTTCTGGTGTGAGTCTCGACTTACACCAAGCACATGTTGCATGGCCCACACACTGCTGGTAATGGGTTGGGCACAGAAGCGGTTCGCACTGTTCTTTCAGACTGTGCACGCGCAGTTTGTCTGCAGGACAGTGTACGG